GATCTAAATTTGGGTTGAGAGACAGCATACCGGAAGTAAAATATTCAGATACGAAAGATAACAACTAAATACCCGTTTATTTTCAACGAAGAGGTATATATGATACAGTATATCGACTTAACCTATCGCTTGCAATCGCGAGAGAGAGTTTACAATTGCTCACAGTCGGGAAATACCTGCATTGATGGTGATGATTCTTGATTTGAGATTCTCGAATTGAGGTTGAGATTAGGATCTTCAGGGTGAGGATTTGGATCGTTGGACCGGTCTGGATCAAGAAATTTCTTCTATGCACAGTGGAAAGTAACGTGAAAATCCGACAGAGTACGATTGGCACTGACACATGAAAATTTTTGATGACTAATCCAAGAGTGACTGGCGACGATTGCCTTTTCGGCCATCAAATTCGATATCAGTGCGATATCCCCCGATTATCCAAATGCAACTCATGTCATGGATCTGGTTCACTCACAATACAAACAGATAAAAGAAAGTTCGATTTCTAAAATTGCGGAGAAGATAACTTCAGGAACAAGGTTTAGTATATCATGAGACGAGTACTTCTCTCTAAACAATCGCCGATATATGAATATTAATGTACACATAGGGGAGGGAAAATTTTGGAATTTAGGAATGGTAAGGATTTCTGGTTCTCTATCTGCTGAAGTCGCTGCTAACGTGGTCAAAGAAAAGTTAGCTGAATTTCATATTTCTTTGGAAAAACACGTGGTGGCTTGGTGTAACTGATGGTGCAACTTTGATGAAAAAATTGGGAAGATTAATTGAATGTGAGCACCAATTGTGCTTTGCACATGGAATCACTTAGCAGTGTGTGATGCTTCGTATCAGAAATCATCTACCCGCCTTACAATCCCCTTTATTGATGAAAACCAGCCAGAAGAAGACTACCAAAGAGGAGTATAACATTGATGAAAGTGAAGACGATTTCACTCAAGGTATTGAGGTTGAAAATTTTATTTCAGAATATGAACACTCTAATGAAAATCTATTTGAAATAGATATAGCATCTGAATTGTATGAAATCGACGTCTCTCAAATCATCAATAAAGTCAGATAGCTAAAAACTTTCGTAAGTCACCTGTGAAGAATAATGTGTTACAAGAATACGTTAAACAAGATCATGGTAAACCCTTACATTTAATGTTGGATTCAAAAACCAGATAGAACAGTGTTTTATCTATGCTAGAACGGTGTATCAAGATAAGACCATCCGTGTTGAAAGCTCTCATTGATTTCAAAGAAGATAAAAATAGTACTCTTAGCCTTGAAAAACAAGAAGTCGATGTAATTCGTGACATCGTGGCATCACTAGAACCCTTAAAACTAGCTGTTGAAAAGCTAGACAGAACAAAATCTACTCTACTTTCAGCAAAGGATATTACCTCTTTCGTTTTGAATGAACTGAAACATTTGAACATTGCTTTTTCTAAAAGAGTACACGAATACTTTGTTCTCCGCATAAAAGAGAGAAGAAACGAAAAATTGATGGGACTGATATTTGTTTTTACCAATAAAAGAAGTTCGAGAGTGACAGCGCATTCCAACAATCTGAGGAAATGTTTGATCGGCTTTTTGGAGAACTTGCTATTTCTGATTCTAGTGAAGATAATGAACTCAAATATGTACAAAAATTTCAGACTGTCACACTACCGAAGGAAATAACTTTAGCTGACAAGCTAAATGCACATCTTGAAACATCCGAGAGAATACGACAAGAGCAGAGAGCAATAAACAAAGAATTAAGTGCTGGAGAGCAGTTATAAAATGAGTTAGCAATCTTCAAAAAACCGGCGTAAAATCTCAGAAAATTTCTCTTCTTTTGAGAGCTTTGAAAAGCACTCCATCCACCTCAATAGAGTCTGAAAGAGCGTTTTCAGCTGCAGGTCTTTTTGTGACCAAATTGAGAAATAGATTAAGTGATCAAAGTATCGATCATTTTTGTTTTTTGAAGTCTTATTATGAAAATTTATAAGTTTTCTTTTTTTTTAAGAGAGAGATTTTTGTTCTCAAATTTTTTTGAGTATTATTTTATGTTCAACTGAAATTTTTTTTGGAGTTGTATTTTTTGTTCAATTCAAAATAATTGCTTTTTCTCTCATTAAATTTATAAGTATATTTTTTATTTCATCTTTAGAAATAAAATAGTATTTTTTTTTCGTAATCATTAAAACTCCCAATGAAACGCTTTATTTTACTTTCATCTTATAATGTAGGAGAACATAAATTGAGCCTACGCGTCCGCATGGGCGAGATTAGTTACTTACTATCAATAAAAAGTACATTAAATTATTTAAATTTATGATATTCCTGTATGATTTTTTTTATTCATATGAAATTCTATTTTATTAGCTCATCCCAGGAACCCGGGAAAAAAATTATTTGTCCCGTAATCCCCCTGGAGACAAATTTTCCAGGAAACGAGAAACCCTAATTACGATAAACGTGACATTGTAGGCTGAAATAACCAAACTCTATATGGTTTTCGTTTTAATGTTTGTTATATTATAGTACTGTATTTAATTTATATAACTACAAAGGTTATCTTAGGCAAAGGTTTATCACACCGAGTGACCAATCTAACACATTTTAAAAATTTCTGAAATTGTATACAGTAGAAGAAAGAATAAAAATTATTTCTTTCTTCTACTGTATGCAATTTCAGGGGACCCGTGATCGAATCCGGGCCCTTAGTCTCGAGTTTTTCGTGTTACAACTCCCAACGTGTTGAAGGTGTCACGTGGTACCATCTCACACTCTGACGTCAAATTGGTAGTCACGTGCTTTCCCATGTTACCATGTGAGTTGCTACTCACGTTGAGTTGAGCATGTGAAATCGCTACACGAAAGTGAAAATGGCTGACGGATACGCAATTCTTATCGCTATCAAAGAGTTAGAAAGAGCCGAAAGACGTTGTTTGAGAAGGCAACGAATTTTTCGACACGAGTAGATGACATTTCTTTTCGTGTCGAGTCAATACTAATAAAAAAATTTTAATTCATAATTGATAAAATTATACAGCAAATTTTTCCAAAAATAAAAAGAAGTATCTAATTCATCGAAAAAGAGTATTAAAATGATAGTAAATTATATGTACATGTTATTAAAAGCATAGACACTATATTAAGATTATTTATTAATCAGAAGTGTTAAGTTCTGATTAATAAATAATCTTAATAGATAAAACAATTTAAGAAATAGATCAAGGAAGAAAACTATATGAAGAAAGGATTAAATTTAAATACATTTTCCATTACATAAGGGATTTCTTTAGCTCCAACACACGCAATTAATTTTTCAACTAATTCTCTCCACAAAGCGAATTGTCTTTTTCTTGTAAATTTGTTGTCAAATTTTCCACTGTTAATTTTCTTATTATTTTCCACATATGTTACTAATATTTCTTTTTGTTCTTTGCTTATTTCTTAAAGTAAAACATTGGAGATTTTCATTGTTTCTGCGTACTATATTGCTATAAGACAACTTTTAACTGTAGCACGTGTAAACTAATTCGCATTGTAAATAATCCCTGAAAAACGCCTAGTGTGTACAGGGCCTAAGGGTCTAACTCGAGACTACCAATTATGTGAGTCATAGTAACACGAGTGAGTTCGATGACGTCAGTTCGAGTAAAACACGAAAAACCCTAGACTAAGGGCCCCGGACGGGTCAAGAAATCGTCAGGAATTTTTCGGGGGTGGTCCGTTCGGATATGTCGGGCCCCGTCCCTCAACACCGGGTCGCCCCATTGTGGGCCTGGCCGAACCCATAATGGGCCTGCTATATGAGGCCCTCTTAGTACCCATAGGGCGGAAAGAGTATTAAAAAAACCTTGCCTAAGATAACCTTTGTACAGTAGTTATATAAATCAAATACTATAATAGAAACGTTAAGGTTATTTCGTACTTCTAACCTTCGTTTATTTTTTGCCCTGGCAACAATCGCGTTACCTGCTAGTTTTTAATATAAACGTATTGATTAGATCTGGAAATAAAATAGAAACTAGGTTTCTATAATATTTCATCTATTTGTTTCGGTTTGCCTGTTGTTACAATCGGTGAACATCGATTTATGTATCATAAAATCAGAAATCGACGATGCTAATAGTAATGTCAATTTCATTTTACAGAAACCATTTTCTTTCCAATTAAAATTACAGCAATAGATTTCGAATTTTAAAACGAATTTTTTTTGCCTCTGGGATTTTATAAATAGATTATTTTCAATGTCAAATGGCCCGTATTAAGCTAGTAATTTTGTTTACTAAATTAACTGTTAGCAGAATCGGTCGTTGTCAAATATTGTAGCGGTCGCAGTATTTTTCGGGTCCTGTTAACTTGTATTTGAATATAATCCGAATGTGTCATTCTTTGTGTTGGCAAACTCTCAAATGAAAACTGGAAAAATTGAATATGAACAATTTGGGAGCAAAGGGACCATTTGGAAGACAATTGTAGAACATCTTCCGTTAAATTAAAAGTTTGTCTTTTCAAAAAAACCAATCTCTAAATCCACGTAGATATTCGACCAACGATGATCATTTCTAAAACAAAAAAAGACTGATACATTTATTTATGAATTTTTTTGAAGCGTGGAAAACTAGACGACAGGAAAATGTAATGCTTGAGTGTACAAAAATGTATGTTAGTTTCTTTTGGATAAAGAAATGAATCGTATGTTTTGGATTGTTACAAAGTTGTTACGATTATAAATCAAAGTTTGTAGCATATGACTTGGCAGCGTAGTTAATCCAGTGATGGGTTTAAGAAGTGGAATTTGTGGACAACATAGAACTGAATAGTTCACCCAGTGTATTTTAACTACTTATTCTGTTCCCAGCATATTTGTGGTCTGGAGATGTTAAAGCTAAAAATTTTTAAGACAAATAACTCATTATGCTGAGAAAAGTTTGTAAATGACTTTCTGCACATGCACAAATATGAATTTAATTCTTTTTAATTAATGAATGGCATGCCTCCATTGTAGAAAGTATTGCTGATAAACTTTATTTTCTTAAAAATTCTTAGTTGTAACACCAGGTAAAAGTTAGAGTTTTGTCATTTTGGAATGTCTTATCTGAACTAGATATATATAATCTTAGAATATTTCGAGACTATCGAAGTACGAGAAGTATATCTAATATTTTTATTGAGTATTCCTGGAATACCTTTTGACTATTCAATAATTAGAATATTAGAAAGTTGATTATTGTACATATTATACAGTATATTCTGATAATATACATCTAGTTCGAATGGATCTTATAAATAGATCTAATGTAGTGCAACAAATCCAAAGATTTCTGGAATGTCCGACCGGAGATTGGAATTTTGACTGCTACTTCTCCGATATATATAATTATACTGTACAGTTATACAATACACAAGTTTTGTTTCGTTGTTATAATTAAAAGGCTTCGGTCGCATATCGGAATCCTTAAAATAAGCGATAAATTTTCGGCACGTAATTAAAAACAAAAGGTAATTATCAGAACCAATAAATGTTTCTTTAATCAATATAATAACTTCATAATATGGTAGCTACTCCTCGCCTTAAACGAAACAGAGTGACACGAATGGAGACGTGCGTCTTTTTGTACAAAAAGGAATATGTTTTCCATGACCTTATCACAAATAATGAGCGTGGGCAAATGCTGTATAAATAGCAAACCAACGTGAAGTAAAGCGTTGAGGAATAATATCGTAGAGTGCATTCACATTTGATGAGAACAAAGTTTAAGACATTTACTATGTGCAATTTGAGAATTTTCTCGGCAAAGTATAAAGTCCGACAGAAACGCTTCTGTCTGATCGTCTGCGAAACTAGGGCAGCGTCGTGTTCCCTTATTGATATCATCCCGTTTTGGGGATTTTGATTGGTCCGTCAACTAACGAAAACATCACATTAGGGATAACTGGAATGCTGTCGTTTCTCGTCAAATTCGATCCGAATGTGGCAGTGAGATCACCATTGGTAGGTAAAAAAAGGTCCTCTCCCGGAAACGCAAACTCTTCTCTCTTACAGCATTCTTGTTTCGAGTTCGACAAAATAGGCACCTGGATGCGCAGCAGTTATCTCAACTGCTGTAGGCAAGATTTCAGCTTACTGATGGCGTGCTGCAGATGATACCTTTCTTCGTCCAGTTGGTTTCTGAGTTGCAAAAGGCTCTGCAACGAGTAACTATCGTTAACCTTCGGCCTAGTTAGACGCGATAAAACTCCAAACCATTACGCCTTACCGACATACGCTGACTGATTACTTCTGCCTCTCGATTCAGTTCTTGATGCTGAATTCTTAAGTAATTACATCTCTCAGATAACACTTCTTGCTCTAATTTTTGTTCTAATTATACAGAAGAGAGATTTATAACAGATTTGAAAGATCAATTATAAATGTCAATCCGAATTGGTTTGTGTGTAATATTACTCACCAGAAAGATACCTTTCATAAGCTTCCATCACAGCTTCTATTCCTGGCCATCGATGTATGTAGTGTTCGTGTTTTCTATCGTAATTCCTCTGCACTTCAGAATCTTTACTTTGATTGATATTTGATGTACTTTGATAACGGGACGAGTAGGCCGAATGATTAAGAGGAGGAGGTTGTAGCACTTGGGGCGTGTGTTGCAATCTGCTATGTTCTGCATCAAAATAAATGTAATTAAAATTACAAAAACGTGATTTCCACTACGAAAATTCTATTCTGCGGTATAAGTTATGTATTTACCTAATTGTTGCTGTGTAGTTTGAAGTACAGACTCGTGAAATTCTTGAACAAAATCTTTTTTGAACTGGCACGTCTTGTCTTTGGGCAGCGCGTGTGAAAATATGACGACCCTCCTTTGGTTAGAATCTTCACTTTTCTTGTCTTGAGACGATTCACCTTTCGCGGATAGATCAGAAGGCGTAATGGGAGGAACTCTTTGAGAAGGTGCTGACACTAAAGGTGGAGGTGATCCTTTGAAAAGTAAATACAAAATCACTTTAGTAGAGTAAATCATATAACATGCAAAGAAATAAGGGATCTACTAAAAGACCTAATTTTTTCCCTTTAAATAATCAGATTTAAATAATTAAATGACAATTGATTAAACTATTACAGTTATAAACAAGCAGAATTATTAATGTGTTTTTATGGGAATTTCAAATTCTCTTCAGTAGACAAGAAGGTGTAGAATTAATCATCTAAAACAATGCCGATTTTTGTAAAATGCAAGGAGAAAAGAACTCATACAGCAGAATAGTAATTGTTTGGCAACTTTGATACTCTATCACCATTGTTCAAACTTTTTGCTCACATAACCCAATATATTTATTTGTAATGGATCTGCAACCCGAATGTTTATATTATAAAATTTTTAAAAAATCCGATAAACTGGAGTTACCATATATTATATAAAGAAATAAATTAGGTATTATTGATAATAACTTCTATGCATGAAATGTAACATTGAGTACATTTCTATTAAGAGCAGTTTGGGCTAATTTCGATTTGTAAGAAATAACTTAGTTAAATTTCAGTTATTATTATTAAAATTTAAGTGTTAAAAAAATGTAAAACTGACTTTCAGTGAATTTTATAACAGTTTGAATTGAATTTATTAAAATCTTACATGAAAAATGAATACAATAATATGAGATGATATTAACAGAAACAATGAGAATTATTTAAGTTTAAAAACTGACTCAACATAACAACCATTATTGAGAATCCATTTTCAGCCAGGTAAGTTGTTGCAAATGGAAATAACAATTTGAATGCCTTTTCACACAGAATTCAGTGTTCTTCAATTCATAACCAAAATTTTGGTAAATTATTATAGTTATCTTTAACATTTATTTCCAAACTCTTGTCCATTGATAAAGTCAAATTGAATTATTTGATTGGCATTGTTGAAAAGGATTTATTTATGTGTGAAATATGTGGGTAATATCTCCTTCAAGTGGGAAACATTTGTTAAAATTATAAAAGTATTTTCAATGATTTTGTATAACTTGACACACATCCAAACTTTCCTTCTGTATTATTATGTTGTCCTCAACTATTTGTAGGAATGATGGAAACATACTGAAACATTTTTTTGTTTTGTTTAATCTGAGGTCAAGTTTTTTTACAAAAGGCATCTATTTTATTATAACAAATAAAAAGATTATCAATGAATGATTTGAATTTGGTCTGATTTCCTTGCATTAATGAAAATATGTCAGTTAGATAGGCAACTTTAGTAAGCTACAAATTATTTTTAAAATATTTCAATAATTGTTTAAGAACTTTTCCTTATGAAAGCCATCTTATGAGAGAATGTAATAATACTTGCTTATGGGCTCAACTCATTTCTTTGCAAATTATGCAGTTATTTACTGCAATTTTTCGAATTTGGTATACTATTTGTACACACTGATTTTAAATTTCACATAAATCTTTGTTCGCATCTTTGTTAGCTAATTGTCCCTGATAAAGAAAACAATAAATTACTGTATGTCACACTAACCTTAAAATGCTTTGCATATTTTTTAACGTATCACATATAATTACTATTAAATCTGGATGAACAATTTTCTTTATGCCTGATACTAGACCCCTATTCTTTCTTGTCATTGCCATAGTCCCATCAGTTCAAATTCCTATACAATATTTATTGATCCACTTGTGGTAAAATTTATCCATTATTTATATAACAATAAATTATAAAAAAGTATGACAATAAACCTAAAAGTTTGAAAATATTTCCTTGTTTATTCAAATCCATTGCAACTTAAATGGCTTTTATGACTACAACTTTACATAAAATTTCTATTTTTAATAACATCAAAATCAGAGAAATCAATTCCATATACACATATTCTATAATCTTATTATTGTCAAAAAAATTTAAAAATTTTTAGTAATTATTGTTCCTAGTTCTTACAAAAATATTTCAGTAATACAAGTATTTCTGAGAAAGGTAGTATCATTTTGTGATCCAATAAAATTTTAATGCAACCCATTACTGGATTGCAACCAATAATTTGAGAAACGCTGATCTATATTGCACAAAGTCAGGTATTTGCTTGTAACACTAAGCAATAAAAATACTTTGAATTTNTTATATGCTATCTAAGAACAGCCAAAGAATATAAATATCAAAGATGGACAGAATGACCAGCTTTGTTTCCATCTAACCATACAGATATTCTTCTGTCAAATTAAAAGAAATGCTTGAAGCAGGGATTATACGACTCTCAGCCTCTCCTTAAGCGTTGACCACATCTATGGTGAAGAAGAAAACAGATCAGCAGCTATGTGTGGACTACCATAAGTTAGATAATGCCACTATCCCCATCAGTTCAAATTCCTATACAATATTTATTGATCCACTTGTGGCAAAATTTATCTATTATTTATATAACAATAAATTATAAAAAAGTATTACAATAAACCTAAAAGTTTGAAAATATTTCCTTGTTTATTCAAATCCATTGCAAAGTAAATGGCTTTTATGACTAAAACTTTACATAAAATTTCTATTTTTAACAACATCAAAACAGATAAGAGAAATCAATTCCATATACATACGTTCTATAATCTTATTATTGTCGAAAAAATTTAAAAATTTTTAGTAATTATTGTTCCTAGTTCTTACAAAAATATTTCAGTAATACAAGTATTTCTGAGGAAGGTAGTATCATTTTGTGACCCATTAAAATTTTAATGCAACCCATTATTGGATTGCAACCAATAATTTGAGAAACACTGATCTATATTGTACAAAGTCATGTATTTGCTTGTAACACTAGGACTTGGGGCGTGTGTTGCAATCTGCTATGTTCTGCATCAAAATAAATGTAATTAAAATTACAAAAACGTGATTTCCACTACGAAAATTCTATTCTGCGGTATAAGTTATGTATTTACCTAATTGTTGCTGTGTAGTTTGAAGTACAGACTCGTGAAATTCTTGAACAAAATCTTTTTTGAACTGGCACGTCTTGTCTTTGGGCAGCGCGTGTGAAAATATGACGACCCTCCTTTGGTTAGAATCTTCACTTTTCTTGTCTTGAGACGATTCACCTTTCGCGGATAGATCAGAAGGCGTAATGGGAGGAACTCTTTGAGAAGGTGCTGACACTAAAGGTGGAGGTGATCCTTTGAAAAGTAAATACAAAATCACTTTAGTAGAGTAAATCATATAACATGCAAAGAAATAAGGGATCTACTAAAAGATCTAATTTTTTCCCTTTAAATAATCAGATTTAAATAATTAAATGACAATTGATTAAACTATTACAGTTATAAACAAGCAGAATTATTAATGTGTTTTTATGGGAATTTCAAATTCTCTTCAGTAGACAAGAAGGTGTAGAATTAATCATCTAAAACAATGCCGATTTTTGTAAAATGCAAGGAGAAAAGAACTCATACAGCAGAATAGTAATTGTTTGGCAACTTTGATACTCTATCACCATTGTTCAAACTTTTTGCTCACATAACCCAATATATTTATTTGTAATGGATCTGCAACCCGAATGTTTATATTATAAAATTTTTAAAAAATCCGATAAACTGGAGTTACCATATATTATATAAAGAAATAAATTAGGTATTATTGATAATAACTTCTATGCATGAAATGTAACATTGAGTACATTTCTATTAAGAGCAGTTTGGGCTAATTTCGATTTGTAAGAAATAACTTAGTTAAATTTCAGTTATTATTATTAAAATTTAANATGAATTCCATGTTGTACGAGTCACTTAGATTTTACAAATACGTGTGCCGGGCTGTGAACGGCTCACGTATTTGTAAAATCTAAGTGACTCGTACAACATGGAATTCATATAAAACGGAATTATCAACAGTGTTATGGGGGGGTCGACTGTATTGCAAAGAAAAAAAAATAGTTAGTGCATAAGTATGTAAATGAGTTAGTGGCATAGTTAATTGTGACATTACACATATAAAAACCCTGGCGACAATGAAAAGAATGAGGTGAAGCTTCTGAGCACAAATGAAGAGAGTTCCAGAGTGATAAAAAAGATTTCCTGGTGTTATTGAGTTCTGCTTTGCTTTGCTTTGTTTTTGTGAAGAGTTAAAATTTAAGTTCCCCAATTGTCAGGAAGATTTTGTGAACATTTGTTTGATTTTTCATTTGTATTAATTATAGTTGTGTAATTTATTATGATTAATGTATTTTTGTGGATTTTTTTACTAATCTATAAATAGTTTGTTTGCTCATTTTGTTTTTCATTGATGCATAGTCAATTAATTTGGGACTTTAGTTTAAAACATTATTTGCGTAACAAATCTGTTTGAGTTACTTTTCCCATTTTTGAAGTCCAGGCCTGGCAACCAATCAACCCCTTGCTTTTTGTTAGGTTTAGTTCCAGGCTGTTGAACAGTGAATTATGTAACTGGTGCCCAAACAGAGACTTGTCATCCTAGTGTTTTGATTTGAAAAATGCAGCAATACAAAAAAGAAAGAGAAAAAAAGAAAGGATTCTCTAACTTCCTAACTGAGAAATTGTTTCTTTAGAATTTGTTTTGTAAGGTCTTCAGTCTTTACTTTTAAAATAACAATTAAAGAAAGTAGGTGTTTGCCAACACCTCTAACCAGTTAACAATGGCAGAAAATATGCCAGCGACTTATTGCTGTAAGACAAAGAATTCAGCACAACTTACAATTCTTACCCAGTGTGTTTCAGCTTTGAGTCAAAGTATGTCCAATTGCTTCATGCCTGTCTTCCCATATTGTTGAACCACTGACAGATGGAGGTAGACAAAACTATTCCAATGTACCCACCAGTTCCAATTCAACCACATCTCTGCTGCTTAACTGCAGTAGTGGTCAACAATAATCAGATTCTCACACAGAAATTTAAAAGTACTTCTGATTATCCAGTGGCAGACTTCATTCAAGATTTGGAGCATTTCTATTTAAATCAAATACAAAGTACTCAATGGGTGGACGCTGCTTCCTTTCTATTAGAAGGAACCCCAGCCAAATGGTAGAATCATGATGACCAAAACAGAGTAAGTATCAGTTGGCAGTTATTTAAACAAACCATTAATTAATTATATTCTTCATTAACAGACAAAGTAGCTCTGGCAAAATGACTCTTTAGCCAGACTTAATGGCAAGTTTAGAGTAGAATAATACATCTGAAATACTGTACAATTATATTGTCAATGGAAACCACAGGCCAGAGATGAAGAAATTATATGCTATCTAAGAACAGCCAAAGAATATAAATATCAAAGATGGACAGAATGACCAGCTTTGTTTACATCTAACCATACAGATATTCTTCTGTCAAATTAAAAGAAATGCTTGAAGCAGGGATTATACGACTCTCAGCCTCTCCTTAAGCATTGACCACATCTATGGTGAAGAAGAAAACAGATCAGCAGCTATGTGTGGACTACCATAAGTTAGATAATGCCACTATAACTGACAAATTTTCACTACCAATTATTTCAGACTTGCTGAATTCACTTAGATCCAAGATAGTAATGTATTTTGAGTGTCATCTGAGTGTTGGCAAGTACCAGTAAAGGAGAAAGAAAAGTATTTATTACTAATGAAGGCTCATATGAGTTCTTTTTAAGTCCAAAAGGCATAACTATGTCCCAGAAACCTTTCAAAGACTAATGAACAAAATTCAATTTCGAAAAGTTTACCTTGATGATATTATTATTTATTCATGTACAGAACACCTGAAACACCTAGAGGAAGTACTCCAAACGTTGTTAGTCAAACATTCCAAGAGTCATTTTTGCCACCCTGATGTTCAATACCTTGGATTTATAGTTAATGAAACTGGCTTTTTAAAACCAAGGAAGACAAGGTACAAGCTATGAAAGAATTACCAAAAGGAACTAAGTACATTTCTAGGGATGTGTGATGGTATAGCTGATTTATTCCGAATTCTGCTGCTATTTCTGAACCACTATCCCAGCTACAGAAAAGTGTTTTAAAATTGTAAGGAGTCAAGTCTGAACATTATTATTTATTTTGGGGATGTTTTATTTTGTTTAGAATTTTATTACTGGTCTGTCCAATTCCATTTTGTGCACTGAAGCACAAAATGGAATTGGACAGACTAATGGTAAGTTTAAACTAATTACAGCAGAATATGGCAGAAAATTAAACCCTACACATTGTACACTGATGCAGGCACTGTGGGCCTCAGAGCAGTGCTGTCAAGAAAGGGTCATTGCTTATGCTAATTGTACATTACAAAAGGCAAAATGAAACTACACTACCACAGAATTGGGAGATTTAGCCATCATCTGGGCCATTGAAAAATTTAGAGAATATCTAGATTGAACAGAATTCAAGTAATAACTGACCATGCAGCATTATGCTGGCTTCAAAGTTCCCAAAATCTTTAAGGGTCCATCTCATGAGTTTACCTATATTGAATGGTAAAGTTAAATTCTTGAAGTGGTGAAGAGAATCAGCTTCTAGATATGTTATCTTGTTTATTGTTGGAAAACCATGTGACCGGAGAAACTAACATAACAGCCAAATTACTAGCTGTAATAGCAATAAACAATATCAATGACTTCATACAAGCTCAGAAAAATGACGATAAATAGAGCCTCTTGTTTCAATATCTCCAGAATGGCAACTTACCAATAATTTCCAATGAGAGTCCAGGATCAGGTGGTAAGTCTGAACACCAGTATTATGTCATAAATAATAATGTTTTGTATTATACTTGCAGAACTGACCCGACTGCTAGCCCAAGACCAGTCACTCCAAAAGAAATACAACTATAAACATATCAAAGTCCAGATGTTTTAATAATAAGTCAAATGATTGCCATATTGAATTGGGAATCATTGATACTAGAGATGGCAGCTAATGCCTCCCTCTAGTACCAAATTATTTAAAATTTATCGTATTTACTTGAATATAAGATGACCTCGCATATAGGACAAGGTGTAACTTTAAAGAAAATTAGATTTATTAATAGAATTCTAATTTTATTTTGTTTAATCACAAATAAAATATCAAATGAATGTGAATGCACACATTATCCCACAAAAATTACTAGCATTTTAAACCTTAAAGAAAAACCTTGCAAAATCAACAACATAATTTGTTCATGTAGAGCTGGGCAATCAGGAACCTTTTTTTGCCAATTCTTAACAGTCAAATCGACTCTCCGTTGATTACATTTATGAGTTTCTCCAAATTCTGATTTCCAAATAAGCATCTGTAAAATGCTAGTAATTTTTGCAGGACAATATGTGCATTTATGTTCATTTGATATTTTACTTGTGATTAAATGTGGGAATGGATTAAAACTTATATTGTGCTCCCATGTGATTTTGGAATTTCAATATGGAATTCAATTCAAAACCTTTGCTTTTCCTATTGCTATTCATCTTTACTCCTGACAACATACAAGAACGATTCAAACGACCCAGATAAAATACTTATATTTTTATATACAAGAAGGTAAGCATCGGGTAAAAAAAATGTGAATACACAGTTCACAAAAATTATTTGCAAAAACGCAAAGAATCTTTTGCTTGCACATATAGGACAACCTAGGAATTTGAGGCTGTGATAAATGAATAAAAACCTCATCTTATATGCAAGTAAATATGGTAATTATTAATAGTAGCGGTAAATTAGCCTGATTCAATATGCAATCGTTTGGCTTAGAGATACAATTTCATATACTGAAAGAATTATACAATCACCCAACAGCCAGCCACTTGGGAGGGGTGTAAGAAGTCAAATCTGAACATTATTTTGTTTAAAGTACAAACTTCACACCACACCACCCACAAAATTCTTACAATTCACATGACTAACTCCACTTGGAAATTAGTGTTAAAGAATTCCCTCAACCCTTTTATTACTGATTGGAAAGACTAGTATAACCAAAAGATGTTAGCGGCATAGCTAATTGTGACATTGCACTAAGATGTATAAAATCTGTGATGAAAAGAATTTTCTGACTTTTTGGTGTGATTGCTAAGAAGTTTAAATCATAAGAATTTTCTTTTGCTGTTATTAATCTTTGCCTTGTCTGTTTTTGTGGAGACTTAAATTTTATTTTTCATTGATGCCTTGTCAATTTGGAACTTCTGTTACACTAATTGTGTTTCAAAGTCCAGGCCTAGTAATCAACCAACCCTCACTTTCTGTTGTTGTTTGTATAATGCCAGGCTGTTGAACAGTGTTACAAAATGTTTATAGTTACTTCAAAAAATACTTTTTGTTCTTGTGAAATTTGTTATTATGGTCTAATGATCATCAAATTTAGAAGATACATGAAGTATTTTCAGCACACTGCATGAGTAGAAATGAACAGCTACTTCAAATAGCAGGTGTCAAAAATGATTTAAAATTTTCAAAGAAAGAACATTTCTGATGCTAACTTAAAAGCTGTAGAATATTTATAAAATTGTTAACTCAGTTTCTTTGTTGAATATTCCCATTAAAAATTCAAATAGTGGGTACTATCTGTTTCAAAAAATTCCTTATGTACAATGACTGTGGTTTCAATATACATTACTTGATGGCTGGATGGCTGAGCAGTCAAGGTGGCAGCCTATTGCTCTGGGGGACCCAGGTTTGAATCTGGACAGNGTTCTATCTCTTAGTAAAGGCGTTTGAAGTGGACTGGTCCGATTTGCGCTTTAATAGGGATGAGGAAATCGAGCTGGAGGGACTTACGTGTGCACTCAAGCGTGCTACAGGTTGACATAACTAATCGCTCATCACTACGTGCATAGCTTCAGCCGTTTTTATTTTAAAATCGTAAAATCTCGGCCACCGATTATCAGAAATTATGATTTTATTAGTTATTTTGATACTTTTCTTTCTTTATAATGTTTTATTTACTTTATTTTCCTGTAATTAGAGACTATACAGCTTTAAAATAAACAGATCAGCTTTCTCTTCCCAATAGATTATCTCAACTTTCACCGATTGTCGTCGGTTCCTTTGTAATCGGATAGGAATTCACCCTGTTTCAAAGTTCAGTGTTAAGTGTTTATGTTTATTGCTTTTGCGGTAATATGAGTAGAGCAGGAAAGTCACTTAATAAACCGCTAAGGGTTTTATTACTGTTTAAACAACTGCTCCCCACTTGTTATTATTAGTAACTAGAGACTTCTGTCAAGGTCAGTTAAACTTTATTACTTTCACAACAGGGTGTCAAGTGACTGCACCCACTCCCCACCGTTAATGACAACAACGCGCTAAGCGTCTTATTACTATGTAAACAAAAACTCCCTTCCCTATCAGAAGTGGGTCAGATGTCAAGGTTACTGATGACTTTTTGTAAATATGTAATAAAAGTAAATAGTCATTTCTAATGTGTGTGTTTCTTATAAGAAGTCGTAAAAACGTTGCACAATTAAACGTTATAGTTATTATAACTGTTACTTGGCATTAATGTGAATTGCTAACAGATTGGTCACTTAGATATATTTGTTATGTCTGATTCGCGATTCGGATATAGTTCGGTAACGATTCACGGCCAATACGATTAATGCAGGGTGTGACCGACAGGAATGTCCAATCAAGCAAGTAGAACAAGGTGTGGATAACACATTTTAACAAATCACGTTCAAGAAAATTTACCAATGTTTTATTGGATAATAACAAACCAATACACTTCGTGTTTTGTCTCTCAACTTGAAAAACATAATCAGTAAGCAATAAAGTGGCGATCTTGCGAAAAGGGGAGGGAAAAGAAAAATTCAGAAGGAAAAAGTGTTGAGGAGAGAAACGTAGGTTTAGAAAAAACTGAGGCATGTCACCTTTGCAGTTAAACTTGTTTACTTAGAAAAACAAATTGGAATTTTAATGAAAGAGTGGATCTGTGAAGTAACATATTACTTCCAATTTCCTGTCGTTGCTATCCAATTTATTTCATTTCTATATGCAGGTAACGGAGACTAGATCAGTTTTAAGAAAAAAACAATCTTCTATATTCATCGATCGAAATGTAAGAATGAACGTTTTATTACCTCGTTGACATTATTCGTGCACATCACAAACCGTGTGTTCCTCGAGTCTACCGAAAAGTAGTTGATGGCGATAATGCAATGTATCGCTCTTAATTATGCTATATGAAATATTTATTTTCATTCTATGTGAAAACAACATCCGATTGTTTCCAATAGTTTAATTCCTTCATTAGAAAGCTTCTTTCGAAATCACGCGCTAAAACACGTATAGCTTTTGATTATTTAAAAAATATTCATTAGAAATTTAAAAAAATGTGCATATTTATTATTTGTAATACGTTGAAAATGGTTCCTGAATGGCATCTTTCCCGGATAAACAACTTTACAGGCAACGTCACGCCTGCAATGATGGCTTTCCCGTAGAAATTCTATGTGATGCGTGGAAAGTTGCCATTCGTAGATTCAATCACATTAACTTTAAATTAAAAAATAAAAACATATAAAAGGAAATTAAATGATATAAAAATAGATTTTACGTAAGTAGTATAAAATTAAACGAATGACATATCATCTTATATGTGAATATTTACTAAATATAAAAGGTCGAATCAAATATAATGTGAATTTAAATAGAAAGTAATAAAAAAAATTGAATACAATAAGATCTCTTTATAAAATGGCAATATATTTTATTAATATATATATAACGACGAAGAAAGGATATGAAAACATTTTTTGCAAACTTGAACTCTGTATAATGAATAAATATTTTATGAAACAACGAAATGTTCATTGCAATTTTAATTCATAAACTTTATACAAGTATAATCTAAAACAAATCGATTAAAAACGTCATAAAAACAATTTTATAAACGAAGCGAAAATAAATTATAAGAACGGTCTTAAAAGTAAACAGTTCTGACAAAACTGATTCTTAAATATCAAGGACAACATTCTGTTAAATAAAATTAAACAGTAACCTTGACATCTGACCCACTTCTGATAGGGAAGGGAGTTTTTGTTTACATAGTAATAAGACGCTTAGCGCGTTGTTGTCATTAACGGTGGGGAGTGGGTGCAGTCACTTGACACCCTGTTGTGAAAGTAATAAAGTTTAACTGACCTTGACAGAAGTCTCTAGTTACTAATAATAACAAGTGGGGAGCAGTTGTTTAAACAGTAATAAAACCCTTAGCGGTTTATTAAGTGACTTTCCTGCTCTACTCATATTACCGCAAAAGCAATAAACATAAACACTTAACACTGAACTTTGAAACAGGGTGAATTCCTATCCGATTACAAAGGAACCGACGACAATCGGTGAAAGTTGAGATAATCTATTGGGAAGAGAAAGCTGATCTGTTTATTTTAAAGCTGTATAGTCTCTAATTACAGGAAAATAAAGTAAATAAAACATTATAAAGAAAGAAAAGTATCAAAATAACTAATAAAATCATAATTTCTGATAATCGGTGGCCGAGATTTTACGATTTTAAAATAAAAACGGCTGAAGCTATGCACGTAGTGATGAGCGATTAGTTATGTCAACCTGTAGCACGCTTGAGTGCACACGTAAGTCCCTCCAGCTCGATTTCCTCATCCCTATTAAAGCGCAAATCGGACCAGTCCACTTCAAACGCCTTTACTAAGAGATAGAACGTCCTGGCGTATTAAGTGATCAGTTTACGTACCTGCGCAATCCATCAGCAACCTGACAATCTCTTTGAGCGAAGCTGTACAATGACTGTGGTTTCAATATACATTACTTGATGGCTGGATGGCTGAGCAGTCAAGGTGGCAGCCTATTGCTCTGGGGGACCCAGGTTTGAATCTGGACAGGTTGATAAATCCCTAGGAATCTTTCTGGGGGTGGTCTGTCCAGATATGTTGGGCCCCATCCCCCACAACCCAGTGCCCAGCACCTTTTTTAGAAAACCCATAATGGGCTTGCTAAGAGAGGTGCTAACTCTTAGGGCCCACAGGGTGGTGAAAGTTAAAAAGAATAAAAAATAAACACACACATATATATAACACATTATTATAACTGGCTTATATAGCAAAACAACATATCAGTATAAAAACTTTAGAGAAACATTTTAACAAACCAAAAGTTCAAAAAAACTAGTTTTATTACCCTGAAGATCTTAAGAATAGAGCTTATAAAAACAATGTATGTATACTGAAATGACAGTTTCCCAATAATCTTCCCTTTTCATAATATTAAACAAATTTAACAATACCTTTATTTGCTCCAATAGAAAGCTGTCGATGAGTTAAAGGTAATACTGCTTCAGAGTTTTTCGAAGTGGATGGAAATTTTAAAGGAGAAATTCCTCCGCTATTTAAGAGAAGACGGTTATGGCTCTTATCATCCGAGTACAACTTTCTTTTTACTCCTTTAGATGAAATATGACCTACAATATATGTAAATAGTTGGTGTTAAGTTTATCATATAATAGTCTGATACACACATTAAAAAATATAAATTTTATAAGATTTGTTTTTCTTATAAAAGAGTATGCATTGTCCAAATAATTTTCCTTGTTTGTATGTAACAGATGTGTATCTTTAAAATGACAACGTTAATTGTCATGCATAATTTAAAAACAAAAAAATGTCAAAGATCATATATAACTTATGTGCAATTTGACTTGCCAATTGAAAAGTTTGTATAATCCATGTATACTAAAAAATATATATAAACCAGGGTTTGTGCTAAACAGTGCCCAAATTGACACTTGGCAATAAAAATCCTAGTCCTCTTATTTTGACATTTGGTGTGAAATTGAATCATAAATCACACTTCGGGAAAAACAGCAAAATGTCGAACTTCCATACAATGAGAGTCCCATGCACCAAATACTTAGCAATTTCACGATGTCACGTGACAAGTTCGGTAAGAAAAATAGGAAGCGACGTCGAGAACCAAAGGCAGTTTTATGCAATGTCACTCAGCATTTCCAGAGTGGGAATTTTTTATTGACTGACAGAAATTTTGTGGAATTTTTGGGATGGTTTTCTTCACTTTGATAAAGATCAAAGTGAAAAAAACCATCCCAAAAATCCTCTTTGTGTCATCTGTAAGGAGGTGGATGGCCCCAATCATTATCTTTACAGATGTATCTGTTTACAAAAGGAAAGACTTGAAATCAAACTCACTGCAGTAAAACTCAACATCTCCTGGCCATGCCAACAGCTAGACTTCTTTAAACACAAGGAGCTATATTCAGCCTTTGTAAATCTTGTGCATGCTTATGAATACATAGCACCCACCACCACGAGAGAGTAGTTCCTCTCTAGTCTCCTCCTGTTTCATCACCTCTGCTTCTGCTCTAACCCTATTGTAAATATTGCACATATGCTACCTCAATTGTATTTGCTTTCAACATTGTTCTGTATTGTATTGTTTTGTATTTAAACTCCAACTGTATATAAAACTTATATTTTGTTTTGTAACCTTTTATTACTGTAACCATTTTACAATTTGTTTCATTGCACTCACAAGTTTTGTAACTCCTGTGTTTTATTCCACTTCTGCATCCAACCACATCTTTATGTTATAACATTATGTATTAACACTTGTATCATTATATTGCATCAACTTTCTATACCATCCATGAATTTTATTATTTTAGATAATTCTGTAATCACCCATATATTTGTAAACAACTGCAATTTAACTGTATTAACACTTGTATCACTATATTGTATCTATTCCTGTTTATCATCCCAAATTAGCATCTTAAATATTTCTGTAATTATCTGTATTTGTAAACAAGTTGTAAATTAACTGTATCTTGTTTTCACTCCCTGGCAGTGCAATGTGGAACCAGAGAATGTACTGATTTTGTACATAATAAATGATATTAACTGAAAAAAAAAAAAAAAAAAACTGGAACACCAAGCACTCCAGACAAAGGCTGAAAGTACCACGATGCTTCTCCACACCAAAGGAAAAGATGACAAATGCATCAGCCATACCTTGTGAAGTCTTTGAGCTGTCTGGGAAGGCCTCTATGTCAGAGGGCCCGTTGACCAGGTCAAGACTGCTTCTAAATGCAGAATGGGGGAGATCACTAAAGCGATAGTCAAGCTCGATGTGCGAGGCATCAAATGAGACACCCAGAAGAGTAGCACTTCTTCCTCTTGAAACATAGAACCTACCCCCCTACCCATAGTGTAGTAGATTTGCTGTAGAATTGGAGGTTTCCCAGCAATAACTGGCAGAGCTGCATTCAAGACTGACTTGCAGTTACAGGACAGATGAATCAGTGCATGGCGTTGAGCGGTCCTCAGCTGTCTGTGGTTATGGGAATGGCTTGTAGCTTCACCCCTAACAGCTGAGCTATAACAGATAACTGGGATGAACACACAGTCATAGATGGAGTTAATTGCTTCATAGCCCAAGCCCCAACACTTACAAGCGACATGCAGGAGGTTGTTAATAGTGTTATTAACAGCTAAAGAACACAAAATATGTATATAATATGAATCAGTGGCATGCTGAGAATGGACTACAGGGCATTCTCAGCATGCCACTGCAATGGACTACAGGGCTAAATTCCATGAAGGTACAATCTAAATATTATTTTTAATGCATTTGTGTTTGAAACCTTTTACTTGAAAACTATGTATTTTTCCCATCTGGCCACCCTTTCTTTATGCTGAGTTCAACTCTTCCATAAGCCAAACTCAACATCCCTCAGGTCTCCTTTAGTAAACTTGTCGACTGGACTAGCTTGCAGACACATGTTCCTGTCATACTATTGTGTTTTGTGCATGCCAGACAGTTCTGTAATAAGAGATTTTTAGTTTCCTGTGCTCATTGAAAACAACATTGCATTAGTGATTTTTGTATTTTTAATATCATAAAAGTTTTCATCTAAAGTGTGAATCTACTTAAAAGATGGTATATATGATTAGAAAGCTTTGAATTCAACATGGAAGAAGACTCATTAGGAGAAGCAGATCCCTCACAGCAGAGACAATCAATGATTTTTGTGCTATATTCTAGATCGCCTGCTTGAAACCTTAAGTTCCAAGAAAAAAATTCAGCAGTAAGTTGCTTAACTTTCCCGCAACATTTAAACTACATGTGACACCATCTGTTATAAAAATTTTTTTCAATGAAATNTGGATAAAAAATTTATGTCAATAACTAATAAAAATATTAGATTTATGATATCTAAAAAAAATTACCTTTTTTTCTTCTGTTTGTTATTAATCCAAACATATTTAAGAACTTCATTTTCTGTAAGTAAAAATAAATTTTAAATACAATCATACATTTTTAATTTATAAATATTCTTGTTGTATCATAGTAAATATGAATTTGTCATTAATAATTACATATTTTTAATTTCTAATTTTTGAAAGATTAGCTTCTGCTTGAGTATGTTAAATAAGATATGATAAATTTTTAATATCCAGTAACTGAATTAAATTGATAGATGTTCTGTTGAGATGTGTTAATTAGAAAATATTTCTGATTACCTAAAAACTTTGTATCCTTTAATTTAAGTCACTTATTTCTCAATTTAGAACTACAGTGGAAACTTGATTAACCAGAGGTTTTTTGGATAATCCAAAAACTCTCATGAAACTTCAAAGACAATAACTGCACTGCACATTTAAACTTGAATTAATTTACTCAAAGTATTTTATGAGCATTTAATGCAGTTACCTTAATCATGCAGTTCATAGGTTTGCTATGGCTGAAATTTTATTAATTATTTTACAAATATTTTCTAGATTTCAAAACTATATGTGTTGTGTGAAAGCAGGTTTTGAAAAGTTATCAAATAAACAACAGCAAATTTTGCATCAAATGAAATACTTGTTTGTTATATTTCATGTTTTTTTCCCCTCTTCATTCATAGATTAAAAAATAACAGCTGTTCTAAAGTAATTGGTAAAAATACTGGTACAATATGCAAATAAACCACTTCACCAAGAACTAGCAAAACAACTGTTTTTTCTAGTTCTTGGTGTCAGTGAAAGTGTCTGACTTGATACAAACAAGGTGCTGTAACAAAAGAGTAATTTTTCTCACTCATGTCATCTTCAATAACCCGACAGTAGCAACATACATTACTGTACCCCTCACCTTCACCTTTCCACCCAGGATGACTGAATATTGCATAGGCCTAATTTTAGTACATATTTCAAACAAAAATTTTGTTTGGTAGAAATTCACTAATTAGGAATCTGATAATCTAAAACAGTGGTGTCCAAATAATTTGTTTTAGTATTTTACATTGTACAATTGAATTATTTGGATTAATAAAATGTAAGACCTAAAAAATTCTATTGTATAACAGCTTTAATTTTTCTTTTTTAACACATTATTAGATTAGTTGAAATTGAAACCCTACTTACAAATGAAATCAATTTTTGTTTAAATTAATGAGCAAACAAAATTTTACATAATAACACTTAGTTTTTCACAGATTTCCTCCCTGACAGTGCAAAATGTCATTAATTCAGCAGTACCCAATTATTTAATTTCTCATTATTAATCAAAAACAAAAACTTTCCAGTAAACAGAAATGCATGTTTGCAATAAAACATTGTCAGTATGTGTGATGTTTTAGAATCAGTCAAAATATGCCTTGTTTGGAAATTGATTCCGATTCAATCTGAATTAGTGTGTGAGGGTTCCATTTAAATTCTTATTATTAAAAAATTTCTACTTATTATACTGCAAACTTCATACATTGATAACTTAATCACCACAATATGCTTCTCAGATAGGCTATTAAGTTCACCGTCTTGTATTAAATTAATTAATTAGGAATATTCTGGAAGAAATGGTTGATTTAGCCCTCAAAAGCTTAATCAGCTGAGTGCCATAGAGGACCAGATTAATTAATTTAAAATATTCCTAAAGATCAATTTAATATAAGATGGTGAGTTTAATAGCCTATCTATAGTCCAAATTATGGCCTGATGAATCTGGCATTATCACCTGATTAAATTTCATTAAAGTTTCTTATCAATTAACATACACTATTTTATAATTTCATGTTGAAAATTAGTTTCAGATTTTAATCATGGAAACAGTCATTATCAAAACACAATCTAAATAACTCATTTAATTAGCCATTATAAGTAAAATATCCAACTATTCAGCAGTTTTCACACCTAATAAAAATTTTCCTAAATAAATAAATAAACACAAAATGTTTTATTTTAAAGTTAGAATGAAATAAAGAGACAGTAAATCATTGGAGTGAGTTGACATTAATTTATATGACAAAATAAATTTTACTGTATTTATTTTGGAGAGAATAGCCTGTACCTTTGAAAAATCATTGTATAATCTAAATTGATAATATATAAATTAATCTATAAGAAAATGTATGCTAGTCTAAATCTCTTCCTTCTTTTCTATTTATGAATATGAGTAATTACCCAGTAAAGAAAATTTTCATTATATTACATATTCCACTTGTAAAAACTTTTTGAACTTTCATCTCTTCTGACATATATTTTTCATTTATAATGTGAAAATGTTTGAAATAAATGCAAAAGTGCTTATCATCAGATTTCAAAGATGCTGACAGTACATAAAATTATGAAATAAACTATTTGGAACAGAACAGTACTTACTTCGGCACTTGTATCCAGTTTTAAAGGTGGCCCTTTTGTAATTATTAACATAGAATTTAATCTGTTAAGATCGTTTTCTTCCTCTGAATCAGATTCACTTTCATCACTATTGTATGTACCATTGAGTCTAGCTTTACGAATTTTTTCTTCTTCCAAGTCTAATTTGCTAATGACTCTTGGCTGATCTAATGTTGTGATTGCTGAATCCAATGGATTTTTGCCAATAGGAGGTAAAATTACAGTTTCTGGTAGGTTCCTTGCTAGAGATTGTCTATTTCCAGTCTGATAATGGTACATGGGTCTACTAGAGAGTCCATCATCAATATGATGATTACGATGTAGTCTCTCCCTTGAGAGCCCATGACTCTGATTATCAGAACGAGTCCTTTCTGTTTCAAGCAATCTAGCATGAATTCCTTCATGCCTAAGATGCGAGGGAGCAGCCCACAAATCAGACATTGGAACTGGATTACTCTTGTTCGGACCATTTTCGTTTCCTCTAATATCAGTGATTGTCCTATGATCATGATTGGAATAGATACTTTTTTGAGATTCTCTGCTATCTGTCAATTGAACAAAGGCAGAATTATGCACATGTTCACTCCTAGGTAGTCCATTCAATTCTGTATTTGGCACCCCTAAAGTATTTCCAGAATGGAGATTATTATCCGATATGCTCGTCTTATGTAATTTTGTATCATAGTTGTTTCTTCCTGAAGAATGCATGGAATGTTTGATTAAATTATCTGCTTCTCTGCTGCTTTCCATGAGGAGTCTCTCTCTTCCAGTTGATGGATGGTGTTGGATCTAATGCAATTAGAAATCTTATTGATATTTGTGAATAAGATGAATATTATAATAAATATTTGATGAACTACAATGATTATTTAATAATATTTATGTAATTTTGATTTTATAGTAGTGTCATTAAAAATATTTTATAATATCCAGGTTTAATTTTAAGAGTAGGCAAATGTTTTGCTTTTGACTAGTTAGTTGATAAAAATCTCAAGTAACAAATTAAAAAGAAGCATAATAAAATAAATTTAAAATACCTGTTGTAGAAGAAGTGGATGTCTATATCCAATACCTTCCTGTTCCTGAGGTAGATGTACTCTGTCTGCCACAGTATCTACTTGACGGGAAGGCCACATATCTTTTTCAACACGTGTGGTATTGGATCTCTGTCCTGATGGTGGATGAACTGCTAAATTTAAAGGAGCCACAACTGATGTCACTGTTGTTACAGATTTCCGGATGACAAAATCTCTTGGAGTACCCTGAGTGATTGAACCTAACCTGCCCACTGTAAAAGTTTTTACTTATATAAATGCTATATATTTAATGTGTATGTGCATCAGTAGTAATAAAAATGAACAATTATAAAATTTTGAGAACTAAAGCTAACAAACATTTTTAGAATTCTTAAATAGCTATCTAGTTTCTATAAAACTTTACATACTTGGTGATTCTGAATTTCTTGAAAGAGCCATGGGTAGTGGACTACATGCTGTCCGTCCTGAATCATTACCACCCGATACTACATCAACCTCCATCTCGTGATGTTCCCTTTCCCATCTGTTGTCATATTCTCTTCGTTCATGTTCTTCTTCTCTATTCCTTTCAACTTCTTGTTCTTGTATTACCTCTCTTGAATGTTCCTCCTCCTGTTTTTGTCTATGATATTAAAAAATGATCAAAATTTTGAGTTTTTTAAAACTAATATTAAATAATATATTGATACAATCTAGTCTCTGTATTAACAGTGAAAATTGCAAAATTTATCATATTAAAGATTTGGGTGCTGCTCACTGAATTCACCCCAAGTATTTATCATCACTCAAAAGTGATAGGGCACATGCATCTTAATCTTTTCAGTTAGGTCATCTAATTAAGATGGTTTATGACCTTTTGAGTATTGTGAATGCCATGTTCTTGACTAAATAATAAACTTTTGACACAGTATTTTCAGAAACACAAGAAAATGATACTCAATAAAAAAAGATTTTAAATGTTTACTGTAGGACATAATTAAACATTTTTCTGTTAATTGTAAATGGTTGTATGTAAGTGTTTAGGGACATATAGAAAAAATCTGGGGCTGTTTGGTGACTTGAAATTTGACAAAAATCTGTATATGCCTTCATGGGAAAGTGTTGCTGCACAATCTCTGTGTTTATTAAATTGATTATAGTCGGGTTTCTGTATTCAATGTTTGTTTTAAGAAAATTATATATATATAGGCTTATCAGACATCACGTTTTGACTGGAATTGTACCAGTTTGATGATATGGTCCTGGTGTCCTGGCCAGTTTGTCCAAGTTATTTGTTAAAATTTTAAAAGTGCCAAATATACAAGAAGTAAAAATAGTGCAGCTGCAAGTAAAATGACATTTTGGAAACTAATTAATCCCCTCTGTTACACTCACTGTTTCCAATCTAAATATTTTGTATCTAGATCTAAGTACTTTTAATGTTGTCTAGATGTTTTCCTTAAAATTTATAGCATATGGCCTAATGAATTTAGATGTTTTGTTTTTTTCATCCAGATATTTTTTCACAGAATTTATAACATGTAGCCTACAAGATCCATATACTTTTATTTCATTTTTTAGATATTTTGTTTCAATTAAAGCTGGCGACACTGAAACTTATTGTCCACGTCATTGTTGCACGTGTCCTATCTTAGTTGAGTTCAAATTGCTAGTTGTCATTTGTGATTATTTTGTACTGTACATTAAAGTGGTTTAATGTCCAAAATGCCAAAAAGAAACCATGTTTACTGATAATTGAAAAAAGATTTATCCATTTTTGAAAAAAGTCTATGATCATATTGATGAAGTGAAATATGAACTGTGCTTTTCAGAATTTTCAGTAACTCATGGGAATTCTGACATAAAAAAAAATCACTTCAAATGTGCAAAACATAAGGCAAGCTTAGTAGCAATAGAAATTTCCTCAAATATATTGTCATATTTTAAAAGTACTGATTTAAGTGACAAAGAATTTTTAAAGATAGTTTACACTAGTGAAAAATATTAATAATTTCTTAATAAAAAGGTATGTTTAGTTGAGTTGTTAAAAATTGCTTTTAATTCATTGTTTTTTGTTAACAACTTTTTACTTAGCCTTCTCAATCATAAGTACTTATCCTTGTAGGCTTTATTTTCTGTTGTGACTATTTTCTCAAAATTGTTCCAGTTTGAAAAAAAAATATTATGGTAAGCCTATATATAAATATAAATTAGTAGATACAATAGTCTTACCTTTCATGATTAAAAGACATGCTACTGGGAGAGACTAATCCCATGTGATGCGACAATAGATCAGAGGGAAAACGGCTGTTGGGATAAAAAGGCACACTGGGATGAGGCAACATTCCAGGTGGGGTATGGAGATGCATCATAGGTGCTCGTGGCAAATTGTAGCGCTCCAAATAAAGCGAATCCTCTAACCTAATAAATAATAATTTGTCATTTTGTAATAAATAACATTTCATTTTGTTTGAAATTATTTTTTACATTTACTTATACAGTTACAGTTAAAATGTGGTTTAGTTTTCATTTCTGTACAAGAAATGTCAAATAACAGATCAAAGTTAATAGCCTAATCACATTAATTTGCCCTTTTCCAATCCTATACAACAGCGCTGTCCAACTGGCGGCCCGCCAAATAATTTTTACGGCCCGCGAGTACATTTTACTATGAATAAATTTATGTTACTAAATTATTATTATTAATATTACAATTATTTTACTACCGTGTTTCCCCGAAAATAAGAGTGTCTTGTATTAATTTTTGCTCTGAAAAATGCGCTAGGTCTTATTTTCAGGGAATGTCTTATTTTTTCCAGGAAGAAGAATTCACATTTATTATTGAACAAAAAAATTCCCAAGTCGAACTTAGACGAGAGTGACGTATATCCGGTGTGTCAAACTGTCGTCTTTTTATAGCGTCAACACCGGACTCGCTGACCAATTAGTGCTTACTGAACCATAGCACTATGCAAATGTCATGTGGTTTATCAACCTTCTTGGCCCCCGAAATGTTTGGTGAAGAAAATATGGCCCGCGGGCTATGATAAGTTGGACAGCGCTGCTATACAATAAGTCTTGTGAACACAATAAAGAAATATAGCAAAAGAAATCTTGAAAAGAATGGACACTGAAATAGCTGTCATATCATGACTTCACTCAATTATCTTCAACCTGAAAAAGAATTAGTGAATATGAAAATTTATGAACTGAATTATCCCAATACAGTATCACTTTTATATCTTCCCTCATCATACAGTAATGATGATGAAATTTAATATGTTAAGTTTGCTTTCTCAATTTCAATAAAAAGTATGCAAGCATTAAAATAATTTTCATTTTCTATGTTACATCTATTAAAGTTATACCATAATTTCCATAAAGCAAAATAAATCTAAACAACAATCAGATTATTTCATAATAATAATAATACAGATTATTAAAGAAAACCAATTAGCTTATTCATTTCATTTTCAAATACCAGTTGAGGATCATCATTCATTCATACATCTGTAGCATCATTCATTATTATTTAATTTCTTTTTTGTTTTTTGGTAACTTAATTTTATGTACTGTACTTAAGAGTAGTTACTGAATCAAAAACAACTAATTCTAATACATTTCTCTATAGATGAAATAGTTTTTCCAGTTTTTAAACAAAATGTTTTTGTATATATTGCATTCTAAAATCATTGTTACAACAACAAGAAAAATTTGGCTTGGTTTCAAAGCACTCTTGGTGTTTGTCCTCTTGTACAGTATATGTTACTCAGCTGATCTTTTCTATTTTACTTCTTTTGGAATATTTTTTGTGTTTTTTTTTTAAATGATTGATTTACATAAATAAGTTTGATATTAAAAAATTGAAGAAAACACTACACATAAAAACTCATAAATCTTGGAAATCTAAATCTTCAGTTTACAAAAATAAATCATCATGAATTAAAGCTGTTAAATTACATAGGCTAGAATATGAAAAAATTATAAGATATTAAAGTCCAGATACTGCATTTATATTCACACTATTACATGGATCTAGGTCAAGAAATAACACCAACTATTTCTTGATTAATAAACATTTAAAGGTCTAAATGTACATTTATATTTCAAATGTGTTTTTCATATAACATGATAACAAGATTTACTAAATTTTTCTTATTGCATTTTACATTTGCACCTGACAATATTCTTTACATATCTCTAATACCAAGCATTGTAAGAATACACTACATGCCCAATAAGATTAAGACAATTGCTTATACTATGTTGCTTTTGTTTTACAACAAAGTAATCTAAATGTTGTGTGTTGAAAATAAAGTTAAAAATCATTTTAAATGAAAAAGACTACTATAATATAATATTTTCAATAAAGTTTTTTTTATTCTGAACCTACTAATTGATTAATCATTTTCAATTAATGAACAGTTAAATTAACTATGTTTAGTTAGGATCATCTATGATTTACAAAAGATAACCAAACATCCAAACAATGCTTTGATCCTGTCTGGAATTAGTTACTATTACTAATTGTAGAGAAAATTCTAAAATTTATTATATGAAAATTTGAAAATCATATTTATAAATCAAGAGATAGATTAAGTACTAGAATGGAAATTTTATTCAGTAATTTTTCTTATAAAATTAATGTAGAATGCAAATTAACTTGCCTTCCTCAATGTGCCATGACAACTGAATAGAATTGGTAAGTTCTGACTGGAGATGCAAAAATTGGGGATCTCCCAATGCTCAGCAAGGGGATTAAGAGCTAAACACAAAGTATCTTTCCTTGTTTGACTAGCAAGCAGAAATGACATTGTTTCATCAGTGTCCTATAAGTCAACAGTATTTAACAGAATCAACCTTAATAAAAAGAAAATGAAATCTTCCACACAGAATTATCAATTGAAGACAATGATGATGGTACATTGTACACATTAGAATATGAATCAATTTACCTCCTTCAATTTCAAAATAATTAACCATGGAAAGTATACACGAGATCCAAGCTACTGAGCAACTGCTTGTTTTGTTCTGTACAAGCATAACTCTTGTTGAAGCATGTTTACAGTGCTTTGTATGTTTTTGATCTTTATAATTATAATTAATTAAACAAAACAGCATTAAACAAAACAAAATTTTCAGTTATATGATTTGTTGATTGAGTACATTTAACATATGTTCATAATTCCAATTTGCTATCACCATTTATTTGTTTCTGAAATAGGCACTGAAATGTGCAATTAAACTGTACATTAATTAAACAATAAAAATTATGTACAAAAATGAAGTTTGCAGACACGTATGAGCTTGTAAGTTACATGATTTGACAATAGGAATGCCATTTGCAATGCAAATAATATATTTAGCAATTGAATTACAGAATTTTTCAGTGTATTTAGTATTTAAAATTTATGGAAAAGATATATTTATAAATATTTGTTGGCACTTTGATATATATCAATAGTAGAGTCCTCAAAGCTTTACTATATTTTGATTCAACTAGCCACAAACAATATCTAATTTAAATATTTATAAAATCTAATAGAAAATAATAGAAATATCAGATAACAGCAAAATTTTATTTCATTCATCTATTAATTAAAAAAGAAAAGGTAGTTATCTCAAGTGATAGAAGGCATTTTCTAAATTATCAATTACTAATGAAACCAAAGTTGACAAATCTCCCATTAATAGCTATTTCATCATTACAACAGAAACATTTTAAAATCTGTTCATAGATTTTAGATTTATGTTAGGAGATAACTTAAGATAGCCTATTGTCATGTGGTTAAAGACAATCTTTTATTATTAAGTTCCTTAAAGAGAATGATACTTTCCATTACATAGACTCCACTTCTTTATGTCTGTAATGTTTATTAATCTTTCACATAAACAAGAATCCAAATGTTATTTCACTTTGTAAATCTTAAAAATTATTTTGAGAACTTTGAATAAAACTTTTAGGAATAAGATAACAAAACTAGTCTTATTCAAATTTTGGCAACATTACAGGCTTCATACATTCTAATAGTTAATTAGATTTAAATTTAATTGTGACCAAAATTTTGGTTTAACAAGACTATTACCAGTTCTCATTTGTAAATATAGTAGTCTTGTTTTACATGGAATCAGATGTCAGGAGATATGGCATAAAATAAATTCCATATAAATTTTATGCTCCATCTTAAATAGTTTCAAGATAATTAATTGCCTAGGCATTATGCAACTATTTGCAATTTAAAACATTTTATATTTCTCTTAACATATTTAAATAGTCTAATGTTTACATGATTGTAATAAAATTATTCAGAAAATACTTTACTGAAGAAAAATGTTCACTATTAAATGCTACTTATTCATTAGTACTCTATGTTCGGAATGCCAGCGTTGAAGAAGCATGGTTTGCTGACTTAAGAGAACACAATTCAGTAACACAAAGAGTTACTTAGTCTAACTATTTACCATCCACTAAAACATAAATTTGTGTAAATCAGTACTGCATCAAACAATACTACTGTATAAGCCTTAGTGTTATTGCAGTTATTTGTGAGAGTCCAAATTTAGTTAATTTTTAAAATAAATTTATTCCGTACCTACAAAATCGAAATATAGAGGCCGTGGGAATTTTATGTCTTACAAGGGGACCTTACTGTCTCGAAAATTCAGTTCGGGATGAGACTTTGCAGGTTAGTAGTATTACTCAAGGGTGTCCACCCAGAAGAATTGTAAAGCGCACTAGCAACAAGATTCCGAGAAAAAAGGCTCTAAAGTTTTAAGCGCAGCTCATATACCGATCGATTTTACACTATGGCAGCACAGCGAAATGGCTGAGCCTGTAGCGAACTCGCTTGCCACGCGGACGATCTAGGTTCGATTCTACCTTCGGCTAACTTTTTTTTTTTAAATTGTTTTAAAAATTGTAACAACTTTTAAATAAAGTTAATGACCTAAAAATATTATCAATTAAATCATAAATAACTGTCAACTTTCACACCTGGGAGCTAATTATTCCGTGAGTTTTCACAAGTCAGCAGCAAAAGTGGCACTTTCACATAACTTTCCGACCTATCGTCTTAAGTTCATCGGTTGAAAATAACAAGGAATTGAAAAATTCTTCAAATTTAAAACGAATATTTTTAACCTCTCCACAGCTTAAAATATCTTAAAATTTTTAATTAAAATTAAAGTTTTAATTTACCTCCATTAGAAATGCATTTGAAATTATTCAACTTTTTAAAAATATTTTAAGCTATGGAGAGGTTAAAAATATTCGTTTTAAATTTGAAGAATTTTTCAATTCCTTGTTATTTTCAACCGATGAACTTAAGACGATAGGTCGGAAAGTTATGTGAAAGTGCCACTTTTGCTGCTGACTTGTGAAAACTCACGGAATAATTAGCTCCCAGGTGTGAAAGTTGACA